ATTTGATAAAAAGAAATTAATAACCTTAAAAGCAGGAAAAAAAAAAGAACCAGGCCCAAATTGTTGTACTGAGTCTACTAAACATTTCAGTTAGAAGTCATATCAAATCTCTTCCAGAAAACTGAAGTAGAGGAACACTTTCTAACCCATTCCATGAGGCTAGCATTACTCTACTCCCTAAACCAGATAAAGACTTTACAAGGAAGAAAAACAACATATCAATGTTACTCAGGAACATATATGTAAAAATCCTCAACAAAAAATTAGCAAATCAAATCCAACAATGTATAAGAAGAATTATTCACTATGACAAAGTGGGATTTACACCATAGGCATGAGAGGCTGGTTCAACTGAAAATCGCTTAATGTAATCTTTCACATTAAAAGGTTAAAGAAGAAAAATCATGTCAATAGGTACAGAAAAAGTACAGAAAAGCATTCATAAAATCCAACCCTCTTTCATAATAAAAACTTTCAGCAAAGTAGAAATAGAGGGAACTTCTTCAATTTGATAAACAACTAGAAGAAAGCTTACAGCTAACATCATACTTAATGATGAGGAATTAGATGCTTTTCTCCTAAAGACTGGGGAAAAGGCAATCATGTTTGCCTTCAGCACACCTTTTCAACATTTGATTGACAGCTCTCTGTTATAAGACAAGAAAATAAAATAAAAGATATGCAGACTGGGAAGGAAAAAAATACAACTCTTATTTTTTTTCAGGTGACATGATTCTCCTTAGAAAATATCAAAGAATTAACAAAGTAACCCTGGACTAATGAGTGACTGTAACAAAATCATAGGATATAAAGTTAATATACAAAAGTCAATTGTTTTCCTATATTATATATCAGTTACAAACATTTGGAATTTGGATATAAAAAACACAATAGCATAAACACTACCAAAAATTAAAGGAGTATTTAGGAATAAATCTATTAAAATATGTGACTATATCTGAATATTTATATCCCCCTAAAATTCACATATTAAAATCCTAACTCCCCAAAATGATAGTAATAGTAGATGGGACCTTGCGTAGGTACTTAGAGGTCATGAGGGTGGTGCCTTCATAAATGGGATCAATACACCACAGAGATCTTAGCCCTTTTGCCACATGAAGATACAACACGAAGTCTGTGGCTCACCCAACCACACTGCCACCTTGATCTCAGACTTCCGGTATCCAGAACTGTGAGCTGTAATTTTCTGCTGTTTATAATCCACACAGTCTATGGTATGTTGTTATAGCCTCCCACCTGGACAAAGGTTTATGCCTAAGATTATTAAGTGTAAAACTGTGATTAAAGAAATCAAAGCCTTAATAAGTGGTGAGAGTTTCATGTTCATGAATATTAAGATGGTGTTAAGATATTAGTTCTTCCCAAATTGATCTGTAGTTCAACACAATTACAATCAAAATCCCAGCAAGTTCTTTTGAAGGAACTGGAAAACTAATTCTAAACTTTGTATGGAAGAATAAGAGATCCCGAAGACACAAAACTGAAGAAGAAGAAGAATAGAGTCAGAAGACTGGCACTATCTGATATCAAGACTTACTGTAAAACTGCAGTAATCAAGACAGTGTGATATTTGTTTACAAATAAAAAGAAAGGTCAATGAAACAGAATAAAGAGCCTAGAAATTGACCCACACATCTAAGTCAACTGAACTTGGCAAAGGGCAAAGGCAATGAAGAAAAAATAGTGTTTCTACCAAACGGTGCTGGAACTGAACCTCCACATACACATAAAGTGAATCTAGACACTGACCTTATACTTTTCATAAAAGCTAACTCAAAATTGATCATAGCCTTAACTGAAAATGCAAAATTATTAAATTGTTAGAAGATAACATAGAAGAAAAACTAAGTGATCTTGGGTTTGGAAATGGTTTTATTTACTTATTTATTTTTTAGTTTTTATTTACATATCAGAAAGAGAGAGAAACAGTGTGAATGGGAGAGGGGCAGAGACACAGGGAGACACAGAATCTGAAGCAGGCTCCAGGCTCTGGTCTGTCAGCACAGCCCAACGTGGCGCTTGAACTCACAGACCATGAGATCATGACCTGAGCAGAAGTCAGACGTTTAACCAAATGAGCCACCTATGCACCCCTGGAAATGATGTTTCTGATACAACACCAAAAGTTCAATAAAAGAAAAAGTAATTGATAAATTGGACTTTATTAAAATTAAAACTTCTGCGCTGCAAAAGACACTATAAAAAGAATGAGAAAATAAGTCACAGACTAGGAGAACATATTGGAAAACATATCTGATAAAAGACTTATATCCAAAAAATATAAAGAATTTAAAAAAAAGAACTCTTAAAACAGTAACTCAATTAAAAGTTAGTCAAAAGATCCAAACAGATATCTCACCAAAGAAGATGTACAGATGGCAGATAGCATATGAAAATATGACCAGTATCATATCGTTAGGGAATTGCAAATTAAAACAGCAGTGAGATACCACTACCCATCTACTAGAATGGTTAGAATCCAAAATACCGACAACACTAAATGCTGGTGAGGTTGTAGAGCTACAGGAGCTTTCATTTATTACTGGGGCGAATGCAAGGATAAGGGTGGTTTGGCAGTTTCTTACAAAGCTAACTATGGTTTTACCATATGATCAGCAATTATATTCCTGGGTATTTATCCAAATGAATCGAAAATCTTTGCCCACACAGAGACATGCCCATGAATTTTTATACCACCCTTATTCTTAACTGCTCCAAACTGGATGCAACCAACAAGTCTTCAATAGGTGAATGAGTAAACACAGAGTGGCCCATCCATACACAGAATATTACTCAGTAATGAAAGAAATGAGCAGTTAAGGCATGAAAAAACATGGATGAACCTTAAATGCACATTGCTAGGTACAAGAATGCAGTCTGTAATGGCTATATATATATAGTATGGCTCCAACTATACAACACTCCAGAAAAACCAAATTATAAAGAAATTAGAACAATCAGTAGTTTCTGGGGGTTATGGAGGAGAAGAGGGATGATTAAGCATAACACAATAATTTTAGAGCAGTAAAACTGTTCGGTAAGATACTGTAATGCTGCTTGACATCATGCATTTGTCAAAACCCACAAAACTACAATACAAAGAGTGCACCCTATTGTAACTGTGCACTTTAGTTAGAATTAATATAGCTACAGTGGCGCAGCGGTTGTAACAAACAGATCCCACTAATGCAAGATCTTAATAGAAGGAGAAACTCTGAGTGCTTATAGGTGGCAGTGGTGGGAAGTGCAGTATATAGGAACTACTTATATTCTCTGCTCAACATTTCTGCAAATCTAAAATTTGTCTAAAACATAACATGTATTATTTTTAGGTTAATCATACTCTTATTATTTCTGAAAATTATCTAGGTTTTTTAAAAAATTTCTTTTATGTTTTATTTTTGAGAGCAAAAGAGACAGAGCATGAGCGGGGGAGGGGCAGAGAGATAGGAAGACACAGAATCTGAAACATGCTCCAGGCTCTGAGCTGTCAGCACAGAGCCCAATGCGAGGCTCGAACTCACAGACCACAGGATCATGACCTGAGACAAAGTCACATGCTTAACTGACTAAGCCACCAGTAGCCCTGAAAATGATCTAGAGGTTATTCAGTGTTTTCTATATAGGAAGTAACATAACCTGTAACTAATAATAGCTTTATTTCTTTACAAATCCGTGTATCTTTTATTTCCTTACGACTTTAAGTAGCTGTGCAATGTTGTTAGACACAGAGGTAGCAGGTGTTTCTGTTGTTGACGTCCCTTAAGGAATTCTTCTAACACTTCACATTTACTACATGGGCTTGACTTAAGACTGTTTCCTCCTTGATTTTTCTTATGTGCAGAAATAACTGAAATAAGTTTCACAAAATTCAAGGAGCATGCTATCTGAGAGGATTAGCAAAATAATATAAAACAACATTGAAAAGTGTTCTCAAAATAACTAAAATAAGTTCAAATGGCACAAACCAGTTCTCTTGGTAGAAAATCTATATACTGAGGCTTAAACTTTATCTTTAAGTATACAAGAAGGGTTATTTATACAAAGAATGAGAATTATAAATTTCTTTATTTTATTCATATAATTGCTGACATCCTACCCTCCCCCTGAAATGTCCTGCCCTTTCCTTGCCCTTTAGTCAAACAAATTATTTCTCTTCCTGTGGGGGTTAGCTGAAAGGCCATTTCTTGAGGAAGACTTTTCCCGGTTTTCTTGAGTGGGTTAGATGACCCCATTTTTATAAGTTTCTCTTGAGTCCTGTTCCTTCCCTTTCATAACAGACATCATATTTATAAGATTGATCAACTTATCCACAGGGCTGCAAATTTCAAAAGAACATATGGAGTCCCCATGTTTTATTTATTTATATATCCACAGAGCCTAGAACTGGTCTTTGTCCAAACAGAGATCCAATACATAGTTGTTCAATGAATTAATGAATAAATAGGAACATCTCTACTAACAGCCGTTGTCACTCCAGCATGGAAGACCCTGGCATCCCTTTGGCATCCTTCACTGAAGACAAAACAAGAAACAATGATCTGTTTACATTGTTCCCAAAAATATAGAAAGTAAAATGTTTGGCCTGATACTAAAAGTTAATTATTACATTCAAAGATTTTGTTTCAATGACAATTATTTGTAAACTTTATTATTTGATTACTTTTTAGATTCTGAATCCTTATTAAAGAATGTCAACATGTAATATATTCATCTCAGAGTCCCTCAGGATTTGGTACTCTTTCAAGAAGCTTGAAGGTATAGTTTACTAAAGAGACCAAGTATTTAAGAAATGTTTACAAGGCGTCCAAATGGTCAATTCATTCTCTTCTCAATTGTAGGTCTCAGTTCCCTATGTCACCGTTATTCCTATATGTTATCATGTGGTCAATGTGCATAAGATGTCAAACAAAATGTCAGAATAAGTGGTTGAGTTTTAAAATGGAAAAACAGAAATTCATCATTAGTTCTTATACCTGTAGGTGATGTGTTTGTGCTGCCACTTCTGTCCTGTTAATGCATATCGCTTTCGACGAATATTAAATTTGGAGCTACCTCTTGTCTGGTCAGGTACGCCACATCGAGGCTTCTTCATCCAGCTGCAAAAAGCAGGGTTTCCCAGTTAGTTACCAAAAACCCTAATCATTCATTTCAAAAGGAAATCAATTGAGAAGTTAGCCAATGACAGTGATAATGAAAATGGGAAAACCTAAAGAAGAAAATTGTCAATTTTTCTGCACTTTGAGTCCAAGTGGGAAGCATACTTTTCCCCCTGAATGATCAAGAATCGTTAGGTTTGAATTCAGCTCTCTTAGATATTTTTTGTCTCTCTAATTCATTTTGAGTTTACTATAGACTGAGGTCCTCTTAAGCTTCTAACTAGACTCTGTTTTTAACAAGATCTGTGACATTGGGCAAGTCATTAATCCCTAATCTCATTCATAAAATGAGACCTTAAAAAATAAATTTTCACTCAGGTCTCTTCCAACGTGAACATTCAACAGTTTTTAAAATCTATTAAATAACCTTAAATTTCAGGATTCAAGAAGGTATATGCTATTCTCTCTTCTAGCTTATATAGAAGCTTACTGTTTAAATAACATTTGCCTTTCTCCAATTTTTTCTTCTTTTTACTTTGCTCATTACCCCAATTTCTAAGCAACAGCCATCTGCTTTAAATTAGTAATAATAACTAAATTCAATGATTAATTTTTTTCTGGATATGAGGTTTAACATCACACAAATAAGGTTTAAATTAATTATCTTAGGAAAGTGACATGCTTTTTGATTTATTATTTTTTAACACTTATACAGATACAGTTGTGTAACTTTCCCAAAAGTCTGATTTTATCATTGTCTTGTTTTCTATGTAGTCTTGCTTCTTATCTAAGAAGAAAGATTTTCATGATTTTGAGTAGTGTTTCTTTAGTGACTCATAAAATGGCTTTACCTTTCATTAGCACATTTAATTTAACAATTACAAAGCTAATGCAGAATCTTCACGGTGCTACATGCTTCAGCAAGTAGAAATGAGAAAAGAATCAATTTTTGCTGTATTTCACCAAATACTTTATAATTTCTATACTCTTTAAATGGAAAATAATTGACTGTAGAGATGACTATCTAAATATGTCCATTTTGGGAAAATGAAAGAATAGTTTACATGTCACATGGATAAATCAACTAATCAGTTCTTATAAACATAATAATGACTTCATGCAACAATGAAAGCATGACTTTTGCTTTTTTAAGAAAGATGACACTTTTCCTGTAAGCACTGTACAAAGTTTCTCCTTTTTTTATTCTGTCCCTAGTAATAATGTAGACATTACAGCTATCAGACTTCACAAATTCCATCCTAGTCTAAAATGCATTGTGGAATTACTTCTGAAATCTCTCTTTCCCATTATTAAAGTCTTCAAACTCCTAAGAGGCTATATGGCCATATGGTATCAAACTGTAGAGTTGAGAATGGAGATCTCCTATTTTTAAATAATATTCTAGAGCATTCCTAAACACTTTATTTGAGACATATTTCACTAGACTGTAAAACACTCAAGGGACAACTACTGGTACCTGGTACAACCCCTGGAACATAAAAGATATTCAATGAATAAGTGGGTAGGGGAATTCTGTAATTTTTAATAAAAAATTATTAATTTTTATTACATTTTATAAGGTATAGATATAGATTTAACATGCAAATATTAAGCATTAATAATGGGCTTAATATAAGTGGCTTTTCATTATGATAAGTGGATATTTCATTAATTATATTCTCAGCAAAAATTATAATATTCCTAAGGCAGATATTTATGCTTACTTATCTCACTGAAAGTACTAAGAGAATAAACAATATATAATTATTAAACATGAATAAATTTACTAAATGCAGGAAATGGCTACCCTTACATTTTGCTAAGAAAAATATTTCAGTTTGCATGCTGGGAAGAGAAATAATTTTGAAATGAATAGTGGAGGAGCGCCTGGGTGGCTTAGTCAGTTAAGCGTCTGACTTTCGCTTAGGCCATGATCTCGCGGTTCGTGGGTTTGAGCCCCGCGTTGGGCTCTGTGCCTGGAGCAGCCTGGAGCCTGTTTCAGAGTCTGTGACTCCCTCTCTCTCTGACTCTCCCCTGCTCACGCTGTCTCTCTCTCTCTCTCTCTCTCTCTCTCTCTCTCTGTCTCTCTCTCTCCTAGAAATAAATAAAACATTAAAAAAATTAAAAAAAAGAAATGAATAGTGGGATAAAAATTGACAAAATGATATTACCTAGTATCAAGAGAAAATGTATTGTCAATGAGGACATATTGTTAACATTACTTAATAATCAATAAAATTAAAATATGAAGTTAGAAATGGAAAAGAAAATTAAACTTACTGATACAAATTTCCATTTTAAGTCATGCATATGTTGGATCTTGTAAAATTTTTCTCAGTGAAGCATTGCATCTTCCAAAGGCTAGGGTTTTTATGGATGAGTATTAAATTTCTGTACTGAAAGATATCTCTGCTGAATTCTTTATGTATTTCTTAGGCTTTTGCTCATTAATTTTCTTGTGTTCCAACTACTAGTTCATTTATTTACTCATTCCATCCTTATTCTTTCATCATATAATATTTTTCAGCTTTTGCTTTTACAACATGCTGTGAGATATAAAGAAAAAGTACGGCAAAAAAGGTAAACAAGGTAAAGGCCCTTGTTGAGTTCACAGTCTATAGGAAGGACATCCACGATTTAAAAAAATATTATATAATGGGTGAAGAGCTGTCACATCTCTGCCAAGACATCCTGCCATTATTTTTAATTTTACATGTAATAAAAAAAATTACAATTTTCTTACCCCAGATTTGTACCAATTCTTCTGATGCCTTGTTTCAGCCAAAAGTCATAACATGCTTCTAATGCCTAAGCTAGATACCTAGGTAATGTCCACCATTGCTCTCTCCTCACATCTAATGGATCAGGATGCAATCTCTTTTGTTTCCAAAATTTCTTCTCTCTCTCATGTTTTCCTTCTTGCTCCTAATGATAAATCTTTCCAGAGCACTGATGTGTTCTCTACATGTTCTGGGCATTAAATGCTTATATACTTATATAGAAAGAATCTGATTCAGGCCTACTTATGGAGGATTCCCTAACCCCTACTTCCTAAGATCCATTCAGGTTTCTTAAGAACTAAACCTCTTTCTACATTTCTATGTAGTGACCTCTGTCTGGAATAACTTTCTCTTTTTTCACACTGAGAATCCTAAACACCCTTCATTATTCAACTCATATGTGTTCAGCATGGATTATACTATGTATTCTGATTTGTGTCTCTATTTTCTACCTGCCTGAGTCAGGAGTCAGGGCAGAGAGCCAGGTATGGGACCAACACCCAGTAAAGTCTCCAATAAGGAACATGAAGCAAATAGATTGAGTGCATTGTTTTTTTTTTTACACACACTGATCTCCCCTACTATCCATGTTGCTTGAAGACTTTGTAACTCTTTCCAGGTCTGTGCCATGAACAAATGCTTATTGCATGGACATTGTGTAGACATTTTTATATAACACTTTTATATAACACTCATTGTTAACTTCACCAATATTTGTATCCAAATATTCTAGCAAAGAGATGTTGGCAGGTTATGTATTAAAATATGTTAAATCCCCCAAATAAGATTGAAGCACATGCCACTGAATAAGACATAGTATTTCAGCTAGATTGGTCTTCAGGATTTTTACATGAGTCCAAATTTTAAATTATTCTTTACACTCATAAGCAGTCAGGTTCTTTCTACTACCATTTTTAAAGTTCTTCATGGATAAAAATATTGATTAGCATTTAACAGTACTCACCAAGTATTAAATGTCTAATACTAATGGTAAAATTGGCACCATTTTAATAATATTGTTATTCAGATAGAGTCTGGCACTGGGATTTTTTTCTAGTTATCATGTACCAAATGTTAGTTGCATTCATATATGAAATTGATAAACCCCATAATATCAATACATGAGAGTATAAAACTCTCTCTACATGTACAAGTAGAATCAATTGATAGTTATGTGTAAGGTAACAACTATTTCACAAGAAAGAAACATAGGTTGAAGAGAGTATAGTGTATGCATGCACACATGCACGCTATTTTCAAGCAGTGTTTTTTTTTTTTTGTGAACATGCCATTGCCAAAACATACTTATTTTTCTGTGTGTCAACACACAGCTCACACATGTGCTCCATTACTGACTCATTTGCTAAAAATTTTAAATTAGCATTTCAAAGCAAAGATATGAGAATGGGTACTGGGGGAGAAGGAGAGCCACAAGAAAGTTATTTTGCACTTTACCACCTCAGTTTTCATAAATATAATACTGATATTCAGTATTGACTTAATTGTCTGGAACCCAGAGCATTTTCAAGTTAGTTGGGTAGATCGTGAGTGGCTTTATTTAAATTAACTCAACTTAAAAAGGAAAAAAAAAATCTAAAATCAGTGCTCTTGAAAGGAGTTAAAGGGATACTTGGGTGGCTCAGTCAGTTAGGCGCCCGACTCTTGATTCCCTCTCAGGTCATAATCCCAGGGTCATGGGATTGACCCCTGTGTTGGGCTCTGTGGCTGGGCATGGAGCCTGCCTGAGGTTGTCCTTTCTCTCTTTCCCTCTGCCCCCTCCCCTGCTTGCTCTCTCGAAAGAAAGAAAGAAAGAAAGAAAGAAAGAAAGAAAGAAAGAAAGAAAGAGAAGGAAGGAAGGAAGGAAGGAAGGAAGGAAGGAAGGAAGGAAGAAGGAAAGAAGGAAGGAGGAAGGAAGGAAGGAGGAAGGAAGGAAGGAAGGAAGGAAGGAAGGAAGGAAGGAAGGAAGGAGGAAGGAAGGGAGAGAGGAAGAAAGGAGTTACACTGTAAAAGTGAGGAGCAGAGATCCTAGAGCCAGGCTGCTAAGGTTCCTACCCTACCTCCACCAACTCACAAGCCCTGTGTCACTAGTCAGACTACTGTTTCTATCTCTTCATTTCCTCATCTACAAACTAGGAGTGATAATATTATTGAGTAAATGTGAGGATTAAATTCGTTAAATTATGTAAAACACTTAGAACAGGGCCTGGAAAATAGTAACTG